TCTCTTTCTATCTTTTTGTTGTTTAATTATTGATTGCATGTTTAGTTGCTTTAATTAGTGGGCGGGTCTTGGGCGAGTTTCTTTCCGCGTAGTGTTGTACACTACGAAACCCAACATCACTTGATTTGGATATATGCCTCCAGTCATGAGACATGTATCTCTGTCTTGTGAACATCAAGTATTTGTTTTGGCAACGAATGTCAATGTTTTATTCAAGTGCTAGGCTACGAATGCTCAAACACACCTCATTTTATCAACTTTTACTTTGTTAAAATCATGGGCTAAAGTTTCAATGACAGATCGAGGGACTTTAAGCCGCTGATGACATATTGATAGGGTATCATCCTCTTTACACTTTTTAAACCCGGTATATTCTCATAACATGACATCACCCAAGACAGCCTTTACTTGTAAAAGCATTCTATATAGTAAAGTATCAATCTAGATTCTTTAGCGCACTAAAACCAGAAAATACCTTTTCTAGTCTTAGCAGCTACTTGTCTTGAACATTTAGCGAATCGAGGATAGTTTCCACATTCTCAATACTACTGAAAGATTCCTTATCTTTAAGGAACTTCGCAGTATGAGTCTCGGATTTATTTCCTTGACTACTTTGATCATCGTCTATCCTAGACTCGATCAAAGTGGGGGCTAACTATAGACATCTACTTTTGGCCCCCTGTCACGACCGGAAGTGCTATGACGATAAATAAAACCATCTTTGTGTTGGATCGACGTGAAGAATACTTATGGATTGCTGATTAAGGCTTAAAACACATAAACAACTAGCTTGACCCAATACGAAATGAATCAAAGCTAACTAAAACTAAGCCCGATCAGTAATTAGGCCTAATCTCGAGATTAAACCTAATTTTTGACGGATTTAGGGGCGCCTAGGTTAAAATCCGAGGTTGTCGCAGGAAAAACCGTGCGCAACTCAAGGAGTCGCGCTCGCCTGGCGCGCGCAACTCACATGGTTGCGCGTGACGTCCAGCACAACCTCCAGTGGTGCGCTCGCGGAAGATTCAGAATTTTGATAAAAAATGCTGAATCGAATCTTACCATAAAGCCAGCGCAAGACAATTGGTTGCGCTTCCCTCAGCAGCGCAATTCAACCACTTGCGCGCAGCAGCCGCGTGCAACCTTTCGAGATGCGCGCGCCACCTGCTGCGGCAGAAGGTTCAAAACCCTAAATTCACTCATTCCTTATAAATAGGGGTGCAATATGAAGCTTTGAACACACAGAAATTAACCCGAAAGTCAGTAGAAACCATGTGATCTTATGCACTAATAATTTCCCCTTGTCCTAAACACTCACACCTTTAATAATTTGTTCTTAAGGCGGAGGTTTCGGAACAAGAAGGAGTTCATAAGTGTTTTAAACGAATATCTAGCAAGGAAAAGTGGTAAAATCCCGAGCACTTAGATAAACCACCTTTTCTTTACTTGTTTAAACAACTTTTAATCGATTAATTGGTGTTGTTTGATCACTTTAAATAAACTTTAGTTAATTAATTTGACATAGTGTTCTTTCGTTAAACAAGACTAGGATTGGACAAATTTATTGATTGTTTTATCACTTAAGCTAATGCGAATCTTGTTTATTTTGTTCTTTTCATGAATTGAATTAAATAAGAATAACGACATTCGTTGCAATGTAATTTTTTGTGATTAATGCGTGTAAATAAAATCAACTAAATTAGTTCTAGGTATCATGTTGCATATATTGTTTGGTGATGAAATTGTGAAAAAGAAAGAGCTAGTAGAGGCCGCACTTGGGCTAGAATAGCGATTCCTTCCTAAAAGGAACGTTATTTTAGTACCCTCGCTCCCGAACTCATTTCTGATACACGTAGACTAATTTGGGCATGGGTAAACTTATGATTCATTCTAAATATCCCTTGAACTCTACTTGGGAGAAAGGCATGAATGAGGTTTATGAGTTTTCCAAAAACTCATTGGCGACTCCTTACTAGTTTCTTTTAAAAAATCATAATGATAGGATCAACTCTAATTCAAGGTCCCCCAAACAGTCAGGAATTCAAATTCTAACACGACTTAAACGGTGTAAAGTCCTAGGCTTTTAATGGGCCATGGGCATAGAGGAGAAGGATCCCCAACGACGGGTACACCCTCCTCACACGTATAAAGTTGATATTTTTGAAATATGCATTGTTTCTAATCTAGCATAACTTTATGTTTTCTCAACAAAAAAATAACAAAACTTTACATAATACTCCGTAATAATAGTTGCCTTTTATCTAATGGTATAAAATCAAGTTAAAATTGGTATATAAATAACGCAAAAATAAAAATGATGCATTTATTCAAATCCAAATAAAGTACTTCGTAATAAATTTTTAAATCATGATAATAATGGAGTAGACATCTTATTTCTAATTTAAGAGTTGTTTTTCCAACTTTCATTTACAACACTCTAAATTCCCATCCTTGCAATTCTAGCCCTTCTATTTTATTTTATTTTATTTTTTTTGTTTTTTTTTTACTCATAACCACCCTTTTTACTCATAACTACCCATATCACTCAATCAAAATCTAGCCCTTTTTTTTTAACAAAAATAACCCATAACCACCCTTTTTACTCATAACTACCCATAACACTAAATTAAAAAAAAAAATCAATAACCACCCTTTAATTAACTTCCTTCTACTGTTGCTAAACATACATACTACATATATATATTGTGCATGAGCACGGGTACACTCTAGTTTTAAAAATTACGGAGTAAATTTTAATAAAGTAGACATTGGAGAAAATTAAAAAAGAACTCATATGACAAATTTTTTGAAAATATAAATCTTGAAATATAAATAAAGTTGAGTATATGAACAGTATAAACTATTAAAATGTTGAGAAGATAACGTACTCTGTATTACTTTGTTTGACTTGGGATTTAATAAGAGATGGGGATTTGATATAGTGAGAAAAAAAGATATATTCATAACATAAAATATATTCCCTTCGTTTTATATTTTATTTTTATTTTTGAAATATCCCTTCATTTCAATTTGATAGTTTGATATTGACTTATTATATAGTCAAGTTTTTAACACTTTAACCAAAAACTCATATTAATATATAAAAAAAAATGAAAAATATACTTTAATAATCCCAACTATTGGCAAATTACTTCTAATAAGGCCAACTAAGATTAATTAATCTAGTAGTTCCAGTGACCGGCAACCTGTTGAAAGGGTAAAATTTTTATTTTTGTTTTTTTTTTGAAAGCCACGTGTCAGCTTGTGATTTGCTCCAAATTTTTTTTAAAAAAATTTAAAATTTACAAAAATGAAAAATTAATTCCAACCATCCCCCTCTCTTCCCCCACCCCTAACCCCACCATGAAACCCTAGCCCATTTCTAACCCCACCGGAAACCGGCCAACCTCCCCCTTAATCCCCGAAAATGGCCGAGCGGCCCCTGCCACCCTTGAGACTACCATAACCCCTCCCTCCCCCTTCCCCTAACCCCAGCCCCGTAACCCCTCCATTCCACTTGAAACCCTCAACGAAGCTTTAAACATCGTCTTTGGCCACCAATTGTGGTTGGAAAAAGCAACCCCTGACGAAGAGGGTGGTTTTGGGATTGAAAAAGGAGTTGCACCGAGGAGAGAGAAAGGGTGGAGGAAGAAGAAGGTGTGAAAGCCATTAATGGAGCTTAAATTTGGGGATTTGACTTCTTTATTTTTTTTGGGTTAATTGAGCATTTGATAGTGAATGAAAAAGAAGTGCTAGTGCTGCTAATTTCTGGGGAGTATATATGAAAGTTGATGGTGCAGAAAAGAAGAGGGGGGGTATGTAGGTGGCCGGAGCCAGGCACTACTATAAAAGTGACATTAGGTAACACCAATCAGTAACACTTTCAAAGTTATAAAGCTATTCAATATATTAGTAAGGGAGTCAGGGCGTGGCCGCGTCGGTGGCTTGCGTGAGGAAGGGTGGTTGTGTATTTTCTTAAAAAAAAATTATTTTTTTTTCAATTTTTTAAATTTATTTTAGGACCAATCACGTGTTGACACGTGTCTTGATAACTTGTAATGACAGGTTGTTGACCGGTTGGGACTAATACAAGCAAAGTAATAGCATACACTAGTAGAAAAAATGAAAAAGGCACCCCCCTTTTCCCACCGGTTTTTAAAAACCGGTGTGAAAAGAAATGGGCGGAATTTGGATAATTTCTTTTCCCACCGGTTCCTTATAAACCGGTGGCAAATCTTGAATTTCGCACCGGTTCATTCCAAGCCGGTGGGAAAAGTTTATTTAGAACCGGTCAATTTTCTTTCTTACTCTTTCATTTCCTCGATCTTTCCTCCTCTCTCATCTGCCTCTCTCTCTCCTCCATTGAAGCATACTCGACATTCTCCATTGAAGGGGCTTCTGATTTGCAAGTGCCCACCGTCGACCATTGCTGGGTCTGCCTCTAATTGTCGGTGCTAGTGATGGTGGGTTCCAGCCTCTAATAGTCTCAAGCACCACCGAATTCGTTCGCAAGTGCCCACCGTCGACCATTGCTGGTTCTGCCTGCTCCGGTCACACGCACCTCCGTCCTTGTGCTCCACCACCACCGTCCAACAGCTGACCACCAGGTTCGTTGTTGAATTCTATTTATTTAACTTCTTACCTCAATTTCGTTTTCTTCTTGCTAGGGTTACAATTTTGATTGCAGTTTTTAGGTCAAAATTGGGGCAATTTCATTGTTATTGTTGTTGTTTTTAAATTATTATAGGTTATTAGTTCTGAAATATATTGACATTTTTCTAGGGTTTTGTTAATTTAGATTTTTCAATTTATTTTTATTAGCTTCTAATTTTCTGGAATACATGTTTGATTCCTTAATGGTCCAGGATAGAAATGGAAATTTAGCATCCGGCACGATTGCGAACCTTGTTGATGAGCTTGGTGCTGTGGTTATTTACAGAGAAGGACTTCCAATGAATGTATCTGTCACCATGTCTATCTCCTATGTGTCAACTCCAAGGTTGATGTATGTGTAACTTCAATTCTTGAACTTCTTGTTATTGTTTATCATGCTGATCATACTTTGGTTTGTTGTATGAGTGACTTGTGATGGTTTGCTTCATTATGAATGTTAACATGAGCTATTTTGGTTCGGGCAAATGCTAGTGATACTACTCAAATTTAAGCTATTTTGTTGATACTAGTCTAGTTTAACTATTAAGTAGATTATTGGAATGACTTTTTAATTGTTTAGTTAATTTTATAATTTTTTTGGTGTGTGTGTGTGGGAGGGGAGTGACTGAAGATATCTCATTCTTGTCATGATGTGAAGTCTGATGAATAGAGCAAGAAGCCCATAGCTTAGTGGAGCAAGGCTTCAGTTCCCGTGGCTGTGACCTGGGTTCGAGGCTCATATCCCCCCTCCCCCGTGGGTAATACCCCCTTGATATTCCTGTGATAGGAAATCAAGGTGAAGCCCACCCCTTACCCCTAAAAAAATGAAGTCTGGTTTGCTTATTATGCCAACATTCCTTCCTCCAAGAAAGAACGGTTAAATTATTTTTTCCGTAAGGCAATTCATGAGTTGAGTGGTTATTATTCAGTCTCTTTAATGAGGCTAACTAAGGATAATTAAGCACATGCTCTATAATTTATTAAACTAGATTATGATTTATGCATCATTGCTAGAAGAATTTTTAAGTGTATACACAAACAGTTAAGACTCAGGAGGTTTCTTTCATGTGATTATTTATGAACTAATTGCTACATTCCTGAACTTGTAGTGTTTTTTCCCCATCTGTATAAAGTAAATAAATATCTAGTTTTCAGTTCTTATGCCTTTACTAGAGAAGAAAATACTAGTAGTTATAACTGTTAATTCACATAATGTTTCATGGTCAGATCTTTGGTTATGTTCTTGGTGTTTCCGCTGGGTTTGTTGTTGGTAAGGCCCTATGGTTCATACTAGGGCTTGCATCGCCAATCTACTTGGTCAGGGTGGCTCTCGCAAGTATGGTTTGACCTGGAATTAGCTCAGATATTTCAAGAATGATAGAGACCGGCGAGATTGGATCACCTGTGGTGCTGCAGCTGGAGTGGCTGCTGCTTTTCGTGCTCCTGTTGGTGGTGTACTTTTTTCCCTTGAAGAAGCAGCCTCCTGGTATGCTTACTCTTGGTTACCAGCAAAGCAAATTTTGTACAATTTGAATCTGGAATTTGATGCATCATAAAAGGTTTCATGCATGAAGCTTAGCATAGAACAAAGATTTTAATTTGTCCATCTATCTTATTGTTAAAGCCTCAGTCATATCTTGGACCTAGTTTATGTATATGTGAGGGATAAGATGAATTTATTTATTAATTTAGGTAATCTTATTACTGCAAAATGAAAATCTGATGATGGAAGTGGAATGTATAAGATATTTATAATGGATAGGAGCCTAGATATGTACATATGTAGTAATGCTATTCTTTTCTGACAACTTAAAGCCTATGTTACTTTGGCTCTTCAGCTTGTCTTCCTACCCATGTGGAACAATCGACATTCTGACAAGGGTATATAATTCTTACACAACACTCCATGCTCACTCATTCACTTCAATTATCTTGAACCCCTAATTGTAGAGAAAAAATGTACAAATATAATGAAGATGAGAATAAGTACGATATGTTTTCACAAGTACGTTTCACACAAGTATTTCAACAAAAATTAACTATCAAGTCTGCTTAACATGTGTGCATGCATCTGTATGCTTTAACTCACGCAAAGTCTTCCAAAATGAACATGTTCCACATATGTCGTGTGACTCGTGTCCTTGCAACCATGTCCAATTCTAGGATGTGTGTTGTATCTGATTTTTACATTCTAGTGTAGCAATTATTTTGATATGTACCTGCATCCCTATTCTCCTTCATATATACTAGAGGATTTATATCAACTATGGCAATGATAATGTCCTCTATGCAGTAACTCAGTTAGCACAAACTGTGATGCATAGTGCTATTGGAAAAATGCCACTTGACAGGACCTTTATGGAGAGAGACACTATAAATGCAAACATTGTGGTATGATTCTTATCACCATGTCCTTAATCCTTTACTATTATAATTTTATCTCTGAATATTGACATATATATTCCTTATGCTTGCGGTGTATGATCTTATTTGCCTTAGTAGGGTTTCTTCATATTGTGTTTCAATGTGTGATGTATGAGTAAGTTTATATTTTACATGAATTAGTAGGGTTTCTTCAGCATCAACAAGTAGGGTGCTTTACTCTTTTTGGCTAAGTTCTTGTTCGTGGCGCGTTCGATTTGCTTTAAACTTAAAAGGTTTAATCTTTGCTTTCCTCAATTTATTTTTCCTCCAATATTTTACTTATTTAGCATTTTCAATTAATTGCAAATTCTGATTATAATTTGGACTAATTTGAGCTTGATCATGCTGTAGGACTTCAATATGAGTAAAAAGCAGTTGATCTTATCAAAGGGGAGCAATTTAATCCAGGTGACTAAAAGCTGTTGCTTCGTCTTCGTTATTTATTATGATTATTATCTGACCACTTAAATAAAACCAATGTACTGCTCTCAATTTGGTCAATTTAGTTGTTTTATGTACATATATTGAAGGTAGTAGTTTTTAGTGGGATGTTAATTAACATTTGTAGTGAAGTTGGAAATTTTATTATGATTGCTTTCAATTAAAATCATTTTGAAACACTGGAATTGAAATAATCTCGTGTTTTTCGTTGATCAATACTCTTGTGATATTAGTTTTCCAAGCTTTTTTTTAATTGAGAAGTTATGTTAACACATGATACTGACTGTTATTTGTTGTTAACATAAACGCTTGCTTATTTGCTGTATTAAATTCCAACAATATCTAAGTTGTAATTATTCGCGGTGGTTGGTAGAAGCCTGGGACCAGAAACTGTGTGTCCTTGTTAAATTAATCCCCGCTCCTCCCATATGCACAATGTGCTAAAGGATAGTAATAACCATTGATAGTATTATTACTGCTAGGATACATGGTCCACAATAGGCTAAGTCCCTGGCTAAGCTGCCCTCTGCTGTGGACTTGCATAGTTTCTGACATTTGATTCGTAAGTCTTTCAGATCTTACAAGTGAACTACCAAGTATGAGTTAATCAAATACGGAGTTCTAAATAGCAGTCACGGTTGTGTCAACATGCATTCAACAGCTATCTGTGGTTTTTTCAAAGTTTTGTCTGGCCTTTTAGCAACCCACAACCTGAAAGAGTAGCCATGACTACCTTATACGACTGATTTTAGTTAATGTCATTGCAGTCCATCACCTCATAGAAAACGTATTAACTAGTATATACCATGCTGAGTTTGTCTCGTGCAGGTCCTGTAGCAGGTCTTACTCTGGTACAGATTCTGCTGCAGTCTCTGTTCTGGGTGCTGGATTTGGTTTGCTGGGTTCTGGCTTTGTTGAGTTCAGGTCTGCTAGGGTCTGGTTTACAGACGCTCGGGTTTCTGGTTTCTGGTTGCTGTGCTGTTCCTGGCTACTAGGATCTGGTTGCAGGCTCTGGTGCAGTTCATGTGCTGGATTTGGTTGCTGCAGGTGTTGGGTGGCTGGCTATGCTTGGTATGCTCATCTGTTTGGAAACCTGCTGCTGGAAGCCTACTGGTTGTGTCTGTTTGGGTTGTTTCTATTTTTTGTTTCTGTTAGGGTGGGCTGCTGTCTTCTATTGCAGTGCATCATGGTTGGCTATTTTTGAAGAAAATATATATGTTAGTGTTTATATGTCCATTTTTTTTTAGTTTTTTAAAGTGTAATATTACAAGTTATTGAGGCAAATATATGTGTTTTATGTATATTATGATTATATATAAGTATTTGGTACAATTTAAGTGAAAAAAATGCAAAAAAAAAAAAAAAAAAAAAAAAAAAATAATTTTTTGGGGCACTTTTGGCACCGGTTTTGGAAAGAACCGGTGCTAAAAGTTTTTTTAAAATTTTTTTTGGAGACTTTTGGCACCGGTTCAATGTGTAAACCGGTGGGAAATGTCATGGTTTTGCCATCAGTTCACCCCAAAACCGGTGCGAAAAGTCTTCCATCTATATAAATCACATGTTTTTGCCACCGGTTCACTCCAAAACCGGTGGGAAAAGTGGTTTTTGCCACCGGTTTTGAACCGGTGGGAAATCTTTGAGGATTTAGCACCCCCCAAATCAGAACGGTTCAAAACCGGTGGGGAATGTGTGGTTTGAACCGGTAGGGATTGGGGTTTTTCGCCTAGTGATAGTTGGGATTATTAAATTATAAACCTTAGTTGGGATTATTAGAAGTAAATCACCAATATTTGGGATTATTAAAGTGTATTTTTATAAGAAAATAATAATATTCATGTGATATATTGTTATATTCATCTCGATGTGTTGGTTTATAATATTATTAAATAACTTTTGCGGATATATAATTAAAGATATTGATGGTCAAGGAAGTATCTTAAAGATCGTGTATAGTCGATTTTTTTTTTGGTTCGATATTTGCGGATCAGACACTTTGAGAGTGAGGGGGGAAGGGTAAGGGATTCCCACCCTTAAAGTGTCTCTAGTGGAAATAAAACTCCTAACCTTAAAGGTACAATCTTTCCCACTAGATCAAACTTAGCTTGATATATAATTTTAACATAATCATTTGATTTTAAAGGATGAGAAACATACTTGTACCAAATTATAGTTGAAAATAATATTGTGGTCAAATATATAATTTAAACTACAATGTAGGTATCTATTTTCACTATTTAGCTAATTGGTTACAACAACAACAATAAGAATAGCAACAATAACAAAGCCTTAGTTTCGAATTAAACTGATTTAGGTCGGCTAACATGAATCATCACATGAAACCGTATGATATAAAGAAAGGGACATAACAAGATAATCGGTTGAAAGACTTTGAAAAAAAGTTGAGTAAAAGAAAGGGAATTCAAGAAAAATAAAGGGAGTTTTAAAAGGGAACCAAGAATAAAATTCAAGAAAGTTTTAAAAAAAGAATCAAAAAATCAAATTCAAGAAAGTTTAAAAGAAGTGGTTAAAACGTTGGAATAAAAAACATAAAGATTTTGAGAAAACTTTAACAAAGCAAATCACTACGGTTCATAAAGTACTAATGGGATAAAACAATTATTTAGCTAATTGGTTCTTTTATAATAATTCATCTTACGTGAATTAAAAAGAAAATAAATATGTATTGATGGATTTGTTCACATTATTAAGCATATTTATTGCACCAAAAATAGCTTAAGCATATTTATATTGTATAATTAAAAAAAATACTCCGCATTAAATTGGTATTAAATACGGAGTAATGCATATTACTATGCATGACATGAGAAATAAACAAGTTATACTACTCCGTATATATAAAATACTCCTGAGAAATGAGAAAATGGAAGGATGGTTAGTCCCTCCATCCCCCCCTTCCCCAATATGATGGGGGTTCGATTCTTCAGCTGATTAGACAAAATTAGTAACACTAAACAAAACAGAGGGAGTATTATAAAAGTAGGACCCAATAATGAAAATCGCAATCCATATATAAGCAATGGAATTCCCATTTCGAGTATATCCAGCAAGAGAATGTCCCTGCGGCGGAGGCTTTTGCCGGATAAGGACCTCTACCACCCAAAACAACCGATCCTTCTATAGCTGTCCAGGCAGAATGGTTAGTATCCATTTTCATCAATTACTACTGTTTAATTAAATTTAATTAAATTCTAGTCGTTGTTCTAACAACGCTTGTGGTTTGTGTAATGGGAAGGAAATGCACTGTGGCTATTTCAGATGGTGTGATGTGGCGGAGCCGCCACCGGTTGAGATTCCGCGTATCGGACCCAACAGATACCCGGAATGCCCGTGTGGTGCCGGAATTTGTAGGCGTAAGGTTCAGCGCGATGGGCCTAATGCTGGTCGCCAGTACTTTGCTTGCCGCATTAAGAGGGTAATTTAAATTTATATCTTTTAATTTATCATTTTTAGTTTTGTCCGCCATCTCTTCTACATAATTGATTGAAAATGAAGGAGTTTGTGATTTATTTAAGCAAAATTCAATGAGAATTTTTTATTTTATTTTTTTTTTATTTTTTTTTTTATTTTTTTTTCTCTTAAAATAAAAATTTGTGTGTGCTTCTTTGAGAATTGGGGAAAATGAAGTTCGAGTTTGTCTTATTGTTGCCACCTTACTTTTAGAACTCCTCCACTTTTGTGCTCCCTTTGTCTTTTAATAAGTACTCCCTTAGTTTTTAATTAAATGTCATAGTTTGACTTTGACACTATTTACATGCACTGATACACTACTTCAACTAATGTTTATGCTTGAAACGTAAGATAAAAAATATAATCAATGAGTATTTGTTGGAATCATCTTAAAGCATAGTTTTCAAATATCAATTTTTTATAATTTATACTTATTAAAAATTAAAAAATTATAAGTCAAAATTGTGCATTGACAAGTATGTCGGTCAAAATGAAGTACTTAAATAAAAACAGAGGGATTGAGGGAATACTTCATTTGCACCTTTTGCACTATTTATTTGATCTAGTTTGACTAATGTTTGTAATTTATACATAAAAAAATATACGAAATATTCTTTGGGGTACTTGTTGAAATTGTTTCAATGAATAAACTATTAATTTTCAATTATTATAATTTATATTTATTGATAATTAAGGATATTATTGGTGAAAGATTTGCATCGATATATGTGATTAAGAGAAATAGAGCAGTTATTAAAGAATGGAGGGAGTAATAAGTCTATAACTTATTTTATTTAGGGAAAATGCTATTTTATTTAAGGAAGAAGCGAAAAAAGGAAAGATATATTCATTAATTACACTAATTTGCGTGTTATTTTGTCATGCATTTCTAAACTAATACCATATAAGGAAAGATATTTAATGGTTATTTGTACCCCTAAAAGCTACATTTAGCAATACCTTTTATTCAATCATTTTTTAATTACTCAAAAAAGTTTGACTTTGTGTTTAACGGGCTTAAACCATATCCATTGGGAAGGAAGTTCACTTTATAAATCAAATGAGCTATCACCTCGAAATTAAATGGTAAATTGGCTACAAGGAGAGTAGTCCCTTAGCTTTGAGAAGGTGGATATAACCTTCTACTTTCTCCAATTTTTTTTTTTTTTTCAATATATTGCACCATAGAACACACTTTTTTCTTTTTACTTTTTTTTGTTTTTGTTGTGGGAAATAAAGAGCGATAAATTACCCATGTGATTGTAAGCTGCACTAAAGAAACAAGTGTTGAAAATTAAAGAAATATTGGATATTTGTAGTGTAAATAGAATTTTTTTTTTTTTTTTTTATTGTAAAAATAATTTTTTTTGATTATAGATATATTGGATATTTGTTGTGTGAAAAGAGAATGAGTGTGAATGTGTGATGCAATATATGTGAAACTGAATTAGAAGTCAATTAGTGCAATATTAATATACTAGAGGAAGTATTTTATATTTAATGTGAGATTCGTTCCAAAGCTTCCCTTTATTTTTCACATTTATTAATGTGGGACAACTCTTCAACTCACATGTTGGTTTGTTCATAGCTCAAATGCTCAATGTGATTTGGGATGTTAGTACTTAGTAGCATACTAGCATAGCTTGATTATTACTTCCCCCGTTTCTTTTTAATTGATACATTTCTGGAGTTACATTTGTCAATGCACAAATTTAACGATTAATATCTTTATTTACTGATAAGAAATTATAAAAAAAATTGACTTTTTGAAAATATATATCGCGACAAATTTAACAAGATCCCACATGACTATATTTTTCATTACATATAAATCACAAAACATGGTCAATGAGAAGTGTATGAATAGTGTTAGTCAAAAAGTACCAACTAAAAATACGGAGGTAGTATAAAGTATTCATCAATTGGTTGAGTATATACATAAAACCTAAGATAAAATAATATACTAGGAAACAATATTCCTAAAAGAGCATAGCTTGATTGTTACCATAAATTCTAAAATGTATTATTCACTAAATATCAATATTATTTATTTAGCAAAGCATAGCCTAACATAAATAATCTTAAAGATATTATTCTCCTAATATTAATATGATAAATACATCATTTTTTTTTGAAACAAATCAATTCATCAATAAAAAGTCATCCGACATCTACAAATGAAATCTAAATTAACAAATACATAAATTGAATCAAATTAGGGTTTCCTTATCAAAGCTACGATCGTTGAAAAAATCTTGCATTGTGGTACATCTCTTGCACACATCGTTAAAATAATATACAACATTTTTAGAGAGACGGTCTAACGATTTGTTGTAGCCGTAAGGATGATTTTCATCTGATTCGCTTGAACGCATTTGAAAACTTGACATCTCGAACAAATCTTTACCAACGAACTGACAATAGGGTATAAGATGATTACCTTTTTTATAAACCCTAACACACAAACCCTAAACATTAACAAACAACTAAACTAATAAAAACTAACGTCTCCATTATAGGGAGACGAACGAATATCTACGCAACTCGTGTAGATTTATTGAAACCTAAATTGCAAAACTAAAGAAAATTAAGAGAAAAGGGTCGAAAATAGTCTAATTTCCGAAGAAATTAAACTATTTCTGGCCTAAACGGCTAAGATCTTGGAGAAACATCTTAACTTAACTATTAGATCTTTATAAATACATCATTAATATGTTGTTGGTTTAGTTCAATGCATATTTTCAAAACTTGTACTTCCTCTATTCCACAAATATTGCAACAAGGATAAAATTACGCATCTCAAAG